TCCCCCAACATGTTTCACACCTGGGAAGAGTCAGTCTTTCCTTCATCGCGAAAGCGAGCGATGTCTCGCGAACGCGAAGGCCAGGGGAGGGTAGCCTATGCGAACACAAACATTATCTCGCGAATGCTTGGCAGCCAATGCTCTTCGCGAATGCGACAGTGGCCTCGCGAACGCGATGCATATTGTCGCCCAGCACTTAAAACAGAATCCAACACGAGATTTAGCCAAAAATTTATTTTTCTCAAAAACCAAACGGTGAGAGGCAATTTTTCAAGAGACATTTCTTCCCCAAAGTGTTGTTAAGTGATTCTAAACCATTTTCTTTCAATTACCATTACATTTCATGAATTATCAATCTAAAATCTAGAGTTTTCTTAAAATCTAGGGGTTAGGGTAGCAACTAGGGATTTCAAAAATTTGGGAATTTAGACCTCAATTTGGGATCGGATTCCAAAGCGAATTACATATTCGGGTTCGGGGGTGAATGGGCAAATGAATTTTGGTCTGAACCTCGAGTTTTGACCAAGCGGGCCCGGGGTCGATTTTTCAAATTTTTTAGAGAAAAAATTGGGAAATTTAATTTATGAAATATAATTGATTCCTTTCGCAATATTTGATATTATTTAGTCATTTTTGAATAGATACGAGTGATTTGGAGGCGAATTCTAGAGGAAAAGTTGTGATTGAGAATTAAGTGGCCTTCGGAGCGAGGTAAGTATTGTGTCTAACCCTGACTTGAGGAATTAGGAACCTTAGACTATTTGCTATGTGAAATTCATGTGAGCGGCGTATATGTGAGGTGACGAGTACTTATGCGCCGCCAATTTACCTATTTTCCATGTTTCTTCCGTTTTTCTTATATTGTCTCTTTCCTATGCCTAATTACTACTTGTTTATACTAGTGTTGTTAAATTGATCGTTCTTATCATGTTTACGAATTTTCTGGTAATAATTGAGTATTTATTTCAAAGATGAGATTGATATTTTGGAACCAAATGTTGAAGTAAGGCTTGTACTTGTTATTCTATCTCCATGTTGTTATTTATGCATTGCGTTATGGTAAAGGAGAGTGTTAATGCACGAAGGGTGATATCGTGCCATATTGTGAGTGTTAATGCACGAAGGGTGATGTCGTGCCATATTGTGAGTGTAAAAGTATGAAGGGTGATGTCGTGTCATATTGTGAGCGTTAATACACAAAAGGTGATGCCGTGCCATGATATGAGAGTTAATGCACGAAGGGTGATGTCGTGCCATTTCTATTGATTTTATGGTGAGATTGAGAGTAAAAGCACGAAGGGTGATGTCGTGCATTTTTCCTTTACTGTATTCGTGTTCCTGTTGATTCATGATATGTTAGTTGTTCCAGTTGTCATTCTGCTGTTTTATCTCGTATTTCCCCTAGTATGTTTCCCCCTCTCGATATCTCCTGTCTAATTCTTCATTATTGTTATTTGTATATACATTGTTAAACTGCACAAGTTGATTTGTAGGTGCCTTGCCTTAGCCCCGTCACTACTTCGTCGAGGTTAGGCTCGACACTTACCAGTACATGAGGTCGATTGTACTGATACTGCACTCTGCACTTTCTGTGCATATTTTGGTACCGGCTCGGGTTGATCGAGATTTTAGATATTGGAACCGCTATCCGGAGACTCAAGGTAGATCTGTTGGCGTTCACAGACCTTGAAGTCCCAGTCTATCTTTTCTATTTTACTGTTTCTTTCATTCAAACAGTTATATTTTTCTCAGACTATTGCTTGTAGTGAATTCTAGAATGGTCATAAATTATGACTCCAGATCCGGATAGTAGTAATTAAGGTAGTTTTTATATTATTCCGCACTTATTATATTTCATCTTAGCTAATTATTATTATTTACTGAATGGAAATAAGGATTTGGTTTAATGATTCTCTAACGTTGGCTTGCCTAGCAAGTGAAATGTTAGGCGCCATCACGGTCCCGACGATGGAAATTTCGGGTCGTGACATTTATATACTCTCGGATATATAATTTATACTTTTACCTATTGGTCGGTAAAGGTATACGAAGTATATACACGTTGGATATTTTATAAAAGGAAATTAAATAAATATGAAGTATATTATTTTTCAAAATGGACATTTTCGCGTAATTTCTTTTGGCCACCGGAAAATTTCAAGAGATACATAAAGCCTTCAAAGTGAAGAATCCTTTTTGCCCGTCTCATGTCATGTGCAGTTATTTTTGCACTTTCTATTCCTTCCTATTTTGGGGGGAAAATTTACATCATTTCTTTCTCGGCAAAATACATACTTTACCCATTGACCTTATTTCCAAATTTCTCTTACACACATGTTAAATACGAGAATAATATTACACACCAAAACTTTTAAAGGTGTGTCAATTACACACCACTTCTGTGTTTGACGACATCTGCTTAAAGATTGCTATTACACACGCCAATCAATATCTGACACTTGTCATAAACAGAGAAAAAAAGAAAATCTGAAAAGAAAATAAATACTCCCCCCCCCCCCACACACACCACCCCTTCTCCTCATCTTCCCAAAGAAAAAAAATACAGAAAAGAAAAAACCCCGTCCCCTCCTCATCTTCCCAACCTCGTCATCTTATCCACTACCACCTTGTTCCTTAAATATAGATTCAACTCTTATGCCGATTTTTAACAAGTTTTAACAACATTCATCTCAAGTTCTTATACAAATTTTAAATTCTAGCTCAAACCCAAAGCTTCAAACTTGTTAATGGTATTTTTTGAATTTTATCAAAATTAATCACCAACGTTTTAGCATATTTTTAGTAAATTTTTACTCAACAATAATCACGAATTCAAACTAATTTTCTAGGTCATGGAATACCAAATTCAACAAGACCCGATTAAATTTTCAAGTTTTTTCAATAGGTCAATAATGAATTCTTACAAGACCCAATAACTCCTCTTTTCCTCTTCTTTTTCCTTTTTTCTTTTTTTCTTCTTAGTCATGGGGGTTGGAGAGGCGAAATATGAGGGGTAGACAAAACTAGGATGGGGGTTGGGGAAGAAGACGAAACAGGGGGG